GAAAGCATGATAATTCACAGCACCGAAGGCCTTAGCAAAGTCAATGAATGCCATGTACAAAGGTTGATTTTGTTCCCTGCATTTTTCTTGGAACTGTTATGCAGTGGAAATAATATCCACTGTTCCTCTGGAGAGGCAGAAGCCATTCTGGGATTCAGAGGTAGAAGGTGGTTTGCAAGGATTCTTGCAAGCATTTTTCCAGTGGAGGTTAGAATAGTTTCCACAGTCTGTTCCTTCTCCCCCTTTAAAAAGAGAGATTATAATGACATCTCTGAAGTCCACTGGGATCTTCTTGGTCATCCACACCTTTTCAATAAGCTTGTGAGGTTGTTGTTTCAGCTCAGACCCACTTTCTTTAAATCATATCTTTAACCTCAGCAGGCCGAAAGCCAAAAGAACTCCAATATGTTGGTGATAATGTAGCTTGTGCTCATTCAGAGGAGGACCTACAACACCTTTGCTAAAGCATAGCATTGAAAAAAGTGGAAGAGTTCTACCTGTCTCTCTGCAATGCCAGCAATACAGCTTAATGATATAATGGTAAAAATGTTAGCCATTGGCAGCCAGCTCTCCACAGAGTTGACATCAACACTGAAATACATCACTGTCTGAGCTCTGCAACTGTAGCATTTTTTTAAAATAAAGCAGAGAATGTTTGAGCATTGGGACATTTGTAGAGATACCAAGATACTTGTTTATAATGCTATTGTCCTTTATACTCTATTGTACACCTGCAAAATACAGACTATCTACAAACGTCACTTCTGGAAAGTTTCCATCAGTGTTTCTTTTGAAAAATCCTGCAAATCTCTTGGGAAGGCAGGCGGTCAACATTAGTGTTCTGAAAGAAGCAAAGACCACTGGCACTGAAATGATGATTCTCTGCCATCAACTTTGCTGGACTGGCCACATTGTTCGAATGTCTTATTGCTCTTTCCCAAAGCAGTTACTTTATTCTCAACTTAAGAAAAGAAAATGGAATTTCAGCGGACAGCTGAAGAGATTTAAAGATGGGCTTCAAGCTAACTTTAAAAATGTGGCATAAACACCAAGAACTGGGAAGTCCTGGCACTCGAGCATTGTAACTGGAGGTCAGCTGTTACCAATGGTGCTATGGATTTTGAAGAGGCAGTAATAGAGGGCAAAAGGAAGAAATGTATCGAGAGGAAGGCTTGTCAAGCAAACTCTTGTCATGAACGCCTTCTATCTGAAAACCCATGTCTTCAGTGTGAAAGACCATAGAGATCCAGAATACGTCACTTATAGACCCACCACCAAGACTCTATCCTTGGAAGACAATTACAGTCATGATTGTAATATCTATGATGCTGGACTGAATGATTTATATGGTTTAGCCAAAGTTGCTTAAGTTGCTTTAAATTGTTTGTCCAATGTTTTCATTTTATTACTGTATACAGCATTTATTTACTTACAGTATTTATATTCCGCCCATCTCACCCCGCAGGGAACTCAGGGTGGATTACAGAGCACATATACATGGCAAACATTCAGTGCTATATAGACATACAACATACGTATACAGACAGACACAGAGGCAATTTAACATTCCAGCTTTTCTGGCTTCATGAGGAATGCTCGATTCCGGCCACAGGGGGAGCTGCCGCTTCACTATCCACTTGTGACATTGAGCTCTTTGATGTAGTACTTCCTCATTCTTCTGCATGCTGCTGGAAGGTTTTATGGCGCAGTAAATTAGTTAAACTAGCATCCCCACATAAAGCGGTACCTAAATTTCCTACTTGACAGATGCAACTGTCTCTCCGGTTGCATAAGTCAACAGTAAGCTAGACTATTAATGGTCGGGAGCTTACTCTTGGTCAGTAGTGATTTAATGCAGATGTCTATTAACTAGCTGTGTCACAGCCTGGCTTTGAATGTTTGCCATTTTCGTTTATGGAAGCCGCCCTGAGTCCCTTCAGGGAGAGAGGGTGGGTTAAAAATAAAGTTATTTATTTATTTATTTATTTATAGACAGCCACAAATGAGCATCGATTATGGTGGTGATGATGATGGTATATCACTAGAAAAATAACAATATTGCAACATGAATGCACTCAGATGCCTGCACACTGGGAGGATTAATGTGGACTTTGTACCACTTCCCTCCCTTAGAACTTGATTAAACAGCTTTTGTGAATGTCCCTTTGCTGGACAGTTGCTCTGGGTGACAAGTGCAGAGAGATTAATAGCTAGAGTGTGGGGCAGGGAATGTACATTATCATCTGTGGTGGCCCAGGGAGATCACACGCTCCAAGACAAACCCTTTTGCTTTGAGCCTGCAAGTGGATGCTGAGTTCAAAGGGCTGAGGTGTGATTGATGTGTGGGGATAATTCTTCTCTCCCTCCTCCTTCCTTCACCTCCCACCCCCCCCCCCCCCCAATCCTGGGGAATGAGTGGCTGAATATGTAGTGTGTGGTGGAATTGAGGGCTCCCAAGAGGTTTTGGAAATTTAGGCAAAAGAAGCTGGACTATTATGGATTGTAGCAGGCAAGGCAGCAGGAAGGGATCACAATGGCATTTTCTCTAGATCACATTTTCTAGAGGGGAACGTAGGACATTTGCTTCCATAGTGGAGGAGGCAGACTTATAATTAGGTTCAGAAAGATAGCAGATGCTGTTGGAGTGTGAGGGCAGCTCCCAGCTGTTCTTTCTGAACGCCCAACTGTTTCCTGCTGCTGGAGATCAGAACTTGTCCTGAACCTTCTAAACTAGTCTGTTGCCCTTGAGTAAGGTGGAGTGCTGTATCCTATGAAGGTAACTTTAAATTGCCTATCCCCTAATCATCTGCACATGGATATGAGAGGAGATACCAGCTACCCCACGTAGTAAAATGTATCAGGCTGGCTTTCTTTCAAGACCACTGAGATGTTCTTAATTCTGTTGCTCATACTTAGTAAAAGAACAAGGCATATTCAAGTCAGGAGTCAGTCTTCTCGGCTTGTGACATTTTTTAAAAAGCTGAAAAAAATTGGTTAATTGGGACTATTCTTGCCAAACTGGAGACTGGAACATATACATAGAGCCAGGGCTAACTTCACTATTAGGCAGAGTTAGACCTTAGAAAGTTAACTCTGAGCTATGTTAGCCCCCGGTGGTGCAGTGGGTTTGGTCTCAGGCAGCAAAATGCCTTTGGACCAGCTGCTTGTAGGGCTGAATTCCTAGGCCAGGAAGGCCTATTTGGCATGAGTTCTCTTTCTACTCTTAACACAAGTAAAATGTAAAATGGAAATGGGTTAACTACCCAGCCACACATTTATTTTGACCAAAGCCCCAGAGAAATGCCTAGCTAGAAAAGTTCTGTGGATGAGGCATGCATGCTTTCCCCAAACTTCCCCAGACATAGGCTATCAGTCAAAAAGAAGCTGATAGCTCAGAATGTGACAGGAAAACACCTTCTGCTACTACCAACCTGTAGCACCCTGGAGCCTTATGAAATACCCTTGCAAGGAGCATTGCCTTGGTGAGGCCTGCCTGCCCTGCCCACTCTTTCCTTCCCCGTCTGCCGTTCCCTTTGTGTAGCCTCGGGGCCAACATTATAGGCAGGGTGGGGATTTATCAGACAGCACAAGATACCAATATGATGATTCATCTGCACCCAACCCATGCAGGGCAAAAGCTGGCAACTAGTGTTGCTTAGCAGGGTGCAGGCAGTGATATTTTTGGATGGCAGTCCTCAGAAGTCTCCAGCCAACACGGCTGATTGGGAAATTCTGAGAGGTGTTTTTCTGACCTTGATTTTGCCATTTTAAATAAGGGATGTCATTTTTCTATGCTGTTGTATATAATGGGATGTAAGCATCCACAAATTTTGGTATCCAGAAAGGCTTCTGGAACCAAGGGCCCACTGCTCCAAGCTTTACAATGAGGTCTAGATTATGAAATTGTAAGCACTGAACAGGAGGCCAGCCAATACCAATGAACAGCAAAAACAAGCACATATTTATTCCATGTTGTGAAGAGTACATCTTCACTCTTATGGATGGCCTATCAGAAGAACCCCATAGGTCTCTTGCAGGTCCTGTGATGCAATTTCACTACTGAGCTTGAAAATCCACATCTTCCCTATGGTCTATTCCAGGGGTCCTCAAACTAAGGCCCGGGGGCCGGATGCGGCCCTCCAAGGTCATTTACCCGGCCCTCGCTCAGGGTCAACCTAAGTCTGAAACGACTTGAAAGCACATAACAACAACAACAATCCTATCTCATCAGCCAAAAGCAGGCCCACATTTCCCATTGAAATTCTAATAAGTTTATATTTGTTAACATTGTTCCTCATTTTAATTATTGTATTGTTTTAAAGTGTTTTTTACACTACAAATAAGATATGTGCAGTGTGCATAGAAATTCGTGGTTATTTTTCAAATTATAATCTGGCCCTCCAACAGTTTGAGGGACTGTGACCCGGCCCTCTGTTTAAAAAGTTTGTGGACCCCTGGTCTATTCTGACATTTCTGTATACAGTGTTCCCTCTCTAATTCGCGGTTCACTTTTAGCGGACTTGCTGTTTTGTGGGTTTTTGAAAACATTAATAAAAATATATAATATAAAATATTTATGTCCAGTGGAGGCCAGGGATCTCGGAAGTGCGGTGGCCTGAGGCATGGCAGGGAAGGCTTGCCTCCCTGGCTTGCTGCTGCCTGCATGGCTCCGGAGGCTCTGCAGGGGTCTGCAGAGGCCAGGGAGGCAGGCAGGCACCCTTGGGATGGGCCACGAGGTCGGTAAGCAAGTACAGGTAAGAAAATAATATATAAAATATGTATAAATAATAAAATTAATATAGAATCCCTACTTTGGAGATTTTCACTTATTGCGGGTGGTTCTGGAATGGAACCCCTGTGATACGTGAGGGAACACTGTAAATTGAAGTTCCCCCATGAGCTTCAGTGAGATGCTATTCAAAGGAAACACTCCATACTTTGCCCAAGACACCTCTTGTGTTCAGCATCCCAACCTCAAATACACACAAACAAAAACCACATCTAACCCAGTTTCACTTTTATTTTCACAATAATAAAATAACTTACCAACCACAGTAACTGCCCTAAGTGCCTATGTGGCACCAGTACAGGACTCTAGAGACAATGACTTCTCCACTCCCACCCTTCAATTTTAAAGAAACATTTCTTTTGACAAACTCTGTAATTTTTTTAAAAAAAATTCCTGAGCAACTGATTTACTCATGATAGCCTAGAATGGTCTGGGGTTCCTCTCAATTGCATCAGGACAACTTCTGGCCAGGTTAAAAAATACAAATAGGTAATTTGGTCTGTTGTCTGGCACCTGAAAAACCCCACAGTGGAATTTAAAGGGCATATTAAGGGTTTGTTGCAAGAGAAACCCCCAGAAGTGGTTAGTGGGTCTTTGAACCCCAGATAGAGATGTTCATGGTCAGGAGTGACCACAGGAAATGTAAGCCAGCCCATTGGTGTGCAGCTTCTTGTGCTTCTGAGATGCTAGGCCCACCTCTAGTCTCTATAACCAGGCCCTTTGGAGAGCTCACACACAAGTCAGGCAGGAGAAGTGGAAGTGTGAAGGAGATGTGAAACACTAATGTGCCCCAGGCTGCCCAAACCATGCCTCCTGCTGGCACAGGGCTCCATCCTGTAGTGCCACATGATCAAAATGGTGGTGTAATTGACATGTCCAGTGAAGGGAGGAGCAGTGAACTATCACTTGCACACACTGACCCACTCTGTCAGTCGGCACTCCTCGCAAGCCACAAAACAGCACCAGTGGAACTTGCAATTGCAGCGCTCACTGCGTGTCTGTCGCAGGATATTGTGTCCCCGCCCACAGCACAGGCTCTCACAGTTGTCCATGCCTGGGCTGGTCTTGTTGCAGAGGCGTCCCTGCGTCCCCATGGAGTCCAGGGCTGGCTCCCTTTCGCAGAAATCTGGTGATTTCTCAAAGTAGATCAGGTCGCTGATACCAGCCCGACGCCGGTGGCGGCCGTGGCTCATCTCCATCTGTCCAGTGTTCCTGTTGTGGGGTCGCATCATCATGGCCCCATAGAAGCGATCCTTGAGCAGTGACCCAACCATTCGGAACTCAGGGGTCACCTGCCAACACGTCTTTAGCTGGCAGCTGCCAGAGGTGCCATGACACTTGCATTTCCTCCGCATGTTATCCATCACCACCTGTCCAGGGCACACAAATAGACACAAGTTAACCAAAGATGCTTGTTAATAGAAGAGGCTGGCAATCACAGTGGTTTCCTTGAATTCCCATTGACTCTGACTGAGGCCCTTGGCTTTGTCATTCCTTTGAAGCAATTAACAAGGTTAAACCAGACAGCCTTGTCTAGATGAACAGGGGGAAGGAGGAGTGTTATACATCTTAAATATTGATTTGATTTACTGTATCCCACCTTTCTTCCAAAACTGGGGTTCAAGATAGTTAAGGAGATGCTTTAAAAAAGATATAAATAGCAACTTATGTTGATAAAACACAATTAAATTATAATATTAACTTATACTTAAATTAAAAAACGTATTTCAAAGCACAACACCACCTACTCATAAAATCCTGTTTGATAGGAAAAGAGATCAATTGCCAAGAGTCACACTGAACACAGAGGACAGAAGGATAACGGGGAGAAGAGTTCGCTTAGACTGGATCTACAATGCTGTAGTGTGAAACTGCATTATATGTTTAATGTAGATTAGGCCACAGTCTATCTTACAAAGTAGTTCCACAACCTGGAACATCCACCAAGAAGGCCCTTGTAGATTCTTTAGTGGTTTGTTCCTGTTGAGGGTCAACAGAGAGTAACAGCAGACTTCAACACTTTCAGAAGTTGTTTCTGACTTACAGTCACCCTAGCACAGAGTTTTTGGGGGCTGAAAATGTGTGACTTGTCCAGGGTAAGCCCATAGGTTTTCATGAGTGAATGGAGATATGAACTCTGGTCTCTGGAGTCGGAGTTCAGTACCCAAACCACTACACTACTCTTTCTCTCTAGCATAGTGGCTCTCAACCTGTGGGTCCCCAGCTGTTTTGGCCTACAACTCCCAGAAATTCCAGGCAGTTTATCAGCTGTTAGGATTTCTGGGAGTTGAGGGCCAAAACTTCTGGGGACCCACAGGTTGAGAACCACTGCTCCAGCATATCATAACTATCCATATGCAGATATATGCTGTGCCAGGATTCTGGAAGAGAACTGCAAATTGCACAACACAGGTCAACCACAATGTGCAATATTGCTGTATGCACAACTCTGCTTACACAGCTGTCAGTAGAATATGTCTGTTACATCATGGCAAACAATTGATCTATGATTTATGCATGAGTATGTCTCCAGCATGATACCAACCTCTGCCTCCATGCCCAAGAGCAGGTTTTTGATATAAGAACAGCCCAACATCCAGGGTTCAATGGAACATGAATGTATGGCTGGTGAGTCATGGAATTGCCTATATCCAACATGGTATGCAAATCTAGGTAAGAACCAACATCCATGAAAACAACTTGAGACATGAAAACTGATCTTACTGAGGTGGGCTGAGCCAGGAGAGTTTGCAAAGGTTCTGATTAAAGGAGGGGAATGCTGCTGCATTAATGTACACCTGGCTTTCCATCAGACCATTAATCATCACCTGTAATGGGGAGAGGAGAGGTCCTTGCTGTGCACATGGGGTGACAGTGCCAGTTGCCTTTGCTCTTCCTAGGATTCAACACAAATAGATACAAACTGTTCCCAGTTGCTATGCTATTTGGTAAGCAGAGGGGGTGGGATGAGGCTAGTTTGTGCAAGGTTGAGTGGGTGCAGCTGTTGTAGTACCTGGTTGCATGCAGCAACGTGCGGACAGGGATTATACGGCTGCAAACCCTTTAGGTTGTTGTTTTGAGACTTGCAGAATGAACATAAAGGTGTTTTCACAAAATTTATGTGTCAGATTTAAGGTAAAGGCAACGGTTTTCCCCTGACATTAAGTCCAGTCATGTCTGATTCTGTGGATTGGTGTTCATCTCCATTTCTAAGCCGAAGAGGTGTCCGTAAACACCTCCAAGGTCATGTGGCCAGCATGACTGCATGGAGTGCTGTTACCTTCCTGCCAGAGCGGTACCTACTGATCTACTCACATTTGCATGTCTTCGAACTGCTAGCTTGGCTGAAGCTGGGGATAACAGCGGGAGCTCACCCCACTTCCCAGATTCAAACCACTGACTGTTCAGTTTAGGAAGTTTAGCAGCTCAGTGGTTTGACCCACTGCCCCACCAGGGGCTCAGATTTAGAGAAGTGAAATTTTATGTTTTTTAAAAAACAAAAAGGCAGATTTTAGAATTAAAGAATTCTTCTCCTCTTCCTCAAATTCTGTTTAATGGAGCCTAACTGTGAAGCAGCCCATGACATATGGGTTCTTCCTACAACTACGAAGTGAAGAAATCAAAATCATGATTTCTGTGGGAAGAAACCATGAGCAAAGGACCTTAAAAAAGGAAACTGCAAATATGAACATGTTGTAAAGCCTCCTCTGCCTTCAGTTACAAGCTGAATGTCCCTTCTCTGAAAATGCACAATGTGAAATATTCAGATTCTAGATCTGTCCACATAGGTTATTGAAATAGTGGCACCTTTGTTTTCTGATGGTTTGAAGTACAAAACTTTATTTTGTGCACAAAACTGTCTCAAATATTGCATAAAATTACCTTGAGGCTGTGTGCATAGGGTGTGTATATGACACATAGAATGAATTTCATGTTTAGACTTGGGGTAAACATGATGTAAACATTATGTATACACAAATATTCCAAAATGTGGAAAAATCCCCAAATCCAAAACTCTTCTGATCCCAAGCATTTCAGATAAGAGTACAACTTTCTGACTTTTGAATTCAGATATCTTAAGTACCAAGTTAATATAAAGTGCAATTGAAGACCCTTCTCTTCCAGTTATCATGGGTTTTGATTTGCTACTATATGTTAATTCTGTATCTGTATTTGGTGCAAGTTTTAAAAAATACTTTCATGTTTTATTTATGTAATTTATTGTATATATTTTATGTTCATATGTTTTTGATCTTGTTGTACTCCACCATGAACCATCAGGAGAGGCAGGTAATAAATAAAATCTGTTATTATTATTATTATTATTATTATTATTATTATTATTATTATTATCCAGCATTAGTACATGTACAGAAGTGTCTGAGAATCCCAAACATTAAACATCCCAGTTTTTCTATCTTGCATTTGTATCAAGAAAAGAAAGCTATATGTACATTTTAAAAAATGAAAAAAGGGAGATGTGCTTCTCTTGTCCTCCCACATTATCTCGGTCATTGTATAATACATATCTTACCATGTCCATTTTGAAAAACTACTCAGTACTTTTTGCCACCCTGTTACAACGATTGTCAGCCATGCTTATTTAAGATATGAGTAGATCAATAGGTATCGCTTTGGCAGGAAGGTAACGGTGCTCCATGCAGTCATACTGGCCACATGACCTAGGAGGTGTCTATGGACAATGTTGGCTCTTTGACTTAGAAATGCAGATGAGCACCCCCCCCCCCCCCAAAAGAGTTGGACACGACTAGAGTTAATGTCAGGGAAAACCTTTACCACAAGGGATCTTCAGCCTATTATAGTAATAGTAGCATTGTAAGGTAAAGGTAAATGTTTTCCCTTGATGTTAACTCTAGTCGTATCTGACTCTGGTGGGGGGGGGGGAGGTGCTCATCTCCATTTCTAAGTTGAAGAGCCGGCGTTGTCCAAAGATGCCTTCTAGGTCATGTGGCTAGCATGACTGCATGGAGCATCGTTACCTTCCTGCCAAAGCGGTACCTATTGATCTGCTCACATTTGCATGTTTTTGAACTGCTAGGTTGGTGAAAGCTGGGGCTAACAGCAGGAGCTCACCCTGCTCTCTGGATTTGAACTGCTGACCTTTTGGTAAGCAAGTTCAGCAGCTCATTGGTTTAACTTGTTGTGCCACCAGGGCCCATGACTTATACTTTCTAATCTTTCACAAATGAAAACTGGAAAATGTGTGGCCAAGAAAACCAAAGTGTGATCCAGATGACAAAAAGAAGCTGCAGTAGTTTGCTTTCACTCGAGTCTACAGGGAAGGCCAAGATTCCTCCTTAATTTGGCTCTCCTCTCCTCTTTCCCCTGATGAGTTAATTGTGGACAAACTCCTTTTGCACTTGGAACTCAGTTCTCCGCACCTAAAGCAAGCTGAGGAGAAAGGAAGGAATTGGGAGAAGAAGAAGAAAATTGTAACATTTGAAAAGCAGCTGAAAAAATGGGATGGCTAAGGAGTAATCAGAACTCTTCCTGTCAAATCTGGACAGCTGGAGGATATAATGTGTGTCTGTGTGTGAAAGAGAAAGGGAGACCCCTACCACTCATGGGACTTGGAATCCCACAACATCTGGAGGGCCACACACGTTGCTCAACCCCTGCTGGAGCAGATTGTCCCTTATTCAAGCTTAGCATAGCCTTGTACCCACATACAACTTTTGTGATAGGAGAAGAAGATAAGTCTTTGCTTAGCTGGTGATCTCCCTGTGGGATCACAAAGTATGTCACTCTACTCTCTAGGACATGAAGAAGAAAGGTACTCTTGACTACTTCCCAGTCATCTGGACGGAGCCCTGGAGCAGTGGCAGAACATGCTATCCTACCCAACCATCAGACAGGTGTGTTCCCTGCTGAGGAGTGTTGATAGTTTGCCCTGAATGAATGAGGGAGAACTGGGTCTAACCAAGCAAACTGATAACACCAAGCCCAGACACCATGCTCAGGGGCATAGCTACAATCTTTGGGCTAGATCAGAGTAATAATGAGGGCCTATACAGTCTTACGTATGCTGTATGACATGCAGGGGCTCAGCTGCATCTGCTAGACTTCTGTTTCCCCTGCAGCTATTCAAAATACGGCAGGAAAACAGTGGCAACCCTAATGGTGTCTTTTCTTGGAACAACACATAAGAAGCAACAGTGACAGCCTAGACTTGGGGAATCCAGTGGCAAAGTTCAGAGCTTGGATAATATTTTTAAAAATATATAAATTCATTCCTGTTACTTGTAACAATGTTTGAAAATTCATTAACTGTAAAGTAACTGCTTCCATTACATGTAACTGCTTCCATTACTAAGATTGCTCAGAAAAAAAGCATATTTTTTTCTGTATT